CGGAGGTTGGGTTTGTAACCGTGGGTGCTGGGGAGTCCGGGGGGAAGTTGGGTGTCCGGGTGGCGTGGCAAACCGAGGTGGAAGTCCCAGACCGACCGCGTGAAGGAGTGGGTCTGAGGGCGAGGCCTGGCAATCGGAGCAGGTCTGGAGAGCACAGTGGCGCTGGGAAGGAGCTGACATCTATGCGTCGGCAAAAAGGCAGCGCGTCGCTGGGGGCTGTTTTAGGGTTCACTGATGAAACGTCGTGTGGACATCACTGCTCTCTGCAAAGCACCCAAAGTTCGTTGTTGTGTTAAGTTTTGTTGCTCCGCTTTTAACAAAAAGGTAAATGAGCTTATAAAAAGCGTAACAGCAGTGAGGGACCTGGGAAACATAATCAAGAGAAGACAGTAAAGGGATGGCTCTCTTTTGTCTAGAAAAAGATGAGGGTCTGAGGTGTTTTTCCTTTTTCCGGCTGCTGATCCTGCTTGAGCAATGCAGGGGTGCGGTTACACCCCAGGATGTCTGGTGGAAGGGGTGCCATAGGTAGCAATAGGAACTGGAATGGTTGGGTGAATGTTATCCACATGGTTTCTGTGAGACGGATCTGTGGCTTTACTGCTGAACAGCGATTTGTCCCAGGATGTGCTTTGTTCTGATTTGGGTTTTTCCTGGTTTCAAAACCACCTTAGATGTTTGGAAGTTTCTGATTTTCTGTTAGTTTCTTAACCCCTTATGTTTAGTGTTTTCTGTCCTGTTACTTGTTTCTCTTTCATGCGTTTGAGGTGTTGCTTTTTTTGGGTGAATTCCTTTCTTTTGCAGTTTCAGAAACACAGAAAGATTTGAGGTGCTGTTTACTAGTAAGTGAACTCCAGCATGGAACTTTAAAGACCATCCGTAACATCCAAAAGGTTATGATCTCTATAGCATCTGGTACTTTGTGGCATTTGTTGTGACATCAGTCACTTTTTTCCTGGTGCAAAGATTGCAAATCAGACTCAGATCAAGAATCTTTAATTATCTTGTTACTAGTTTTTACCCAAGGAAGAACTGTTAATGGGAATTGTTTGTTTTACTGAATAGATTACAGAAATAGAGTTACAGTATTTCCTTTAGAAGTCATACCTATGAGAACTGTTTGGCTCACGGCTGCCTGAGAAGTTTGCGTGTGGAAGGACAGAAATGCTCGATTCTGCACCTCTGACACAGTTACACTGGGCACAGGTATAAACTGGGAGAGGAGTGGCTGGAGAGCAGCCCTGCAGAAAGGGATCTGGGGGTGCTGGTTGGCACCTTGGTGCCTTGTATTTGGGGAAAATACAGGTAAGGACCAAATATGTTTCCAAATTATTGGCATAAAGACTTGAAACCCATGTGAACAGCCAGGGTGGTGTGCTGGAATCTTGTTAGCGGTCCCCTAAGCAATGACTTGGAAGCATCCTAAATGTCACAGCTTCTTAGGGATGTGTATCTTTAAACAGGGATGGCGCTGATGGTAGCAGTGAAGGCCAGGTGGCCTGTGGCACGAACGTAGCCGTTGCTGACGGAGCCAAGTCTTCTCATAAAAATGAAGGTCTGTCTGATGATGAACTAGGTGAATATGATTTGGAAAATTACGATGAAGAGGAATACACAGGTAAGAACAATTTAAATGTCAGATATGCTGTGTAAGTGAACAATCTTTTCACTTCTTGTACTTAAGAAATGAGCATCCTCAAACTACACAGTGCTGTGTTTCAAGTGCTGGAAATTCACATCGTGAATGATTTCCTTGTCCCTGTTTCCTAAGTTTTTTAGTGAGCGAAACAATTGAGTGTCCCCCTCCCTGACGGTAGAATGGAGAGCGGTGTCGGCAGGGCTGTCACTCCCCCTGCTGTAGTGCTGCAGCACAGCAGCAGAAGCCGGTGAAAGCACCGAGCGATTTAACTTGCTGAGGTTCTTCTGTTTGGAACTTGGAAGTTCGTTTAGCCCACTCCTGGTATTTTGCAGTACAGGTAGCGCTACAGGAGTTTCTAACTGCACCCACCGTTGACACGTATAAAACTGTGTTCTGAAATTCCCGTCTAGGTGACCTAAAACTCGGAGACTCTTTGGCTACTTTGGCAGTGTATGGGAGCAACGATCATGATCCTTACATCACTCTCAAAACAACTGTGAGTACTATACAAATATTTATCTTGAGGAGCATAAACTTAAAAATCAGTTAAATTTTCCCACTGCTGGACTGCCCTCGGGGCTGTAGGTGCTTGCAGTCCTTTCCCAGAGATTTGCCAGGTTTCTGATCAGACGGAACTCACTTGGAGTTGCTTTGTGCAGTCCCCTCTGCGTGTGCTTTTACGTTTAGGTTGGCCCTTAGGGCAAACTGGCTCATTACTTAAGCCATGAGGTGGTGTGGAGGTGGTTTCTCACCTATATAGTAGACTCAGAAAACGCTTGAAGAAATAACAAATCTCAGGCCACTAACCCCCCAAATTAGGAAACCTCCCGGGTTGCGAGACTCTTACACCTTCCACCAGTTTGTGGAAGGAACCAAGCTGAGGTGGACTCGGGCTACATGTCACGTTAGGGGTGTGGCATGAAGAAATAGGTCCCCGTTAGGCATAAATGCACAGCATCCTGTGGAGTTGACTCTTTCTGCCTCTATTAGTTTTCACCGAGTGTCCGATGGGGAACACCTTGGCAGGAGCTGGTGTTGTGGGAGCTCTGCGGGCAGCGGCAAAGTCTCTGGCTGTGATCTGACCCAAGCTAACTGTGGCAACAGTGCTGTCCTGTCATGTCTGTCAGCCTGTTTGTCTTTTTCTGGTGCAGAGGGGTGCAGCATGCTAGGCGTGAGATAATCGTACGCTACTTACCATGGGTATTGCCCTAGCCAGAGTACTGGGTGTCTCTTCAGAAGAGGGAGGGAGAGATTCCCGAGAATACCCCGCAGTTTAGTTCAGGAGGATAGGTCGCAACTTGTGAGTGACTGAATTTACATGGAGAAGTTACAGGAATCAGTTACAAGGTGAGGTGGTGTGAGAAGAGTCGATGTAGCGTAGGGAGCGAGTAGGAGAGATTATGGTGGTCTGGTGATGAAGTAAGTGAATTTTTGAGACATAAGCATAAAGAGTCTCAGATTTTTCTGGGTGTTGCCCTTCCTACACTGTTTTGGGTTCTTTACAAATCTAACAAGATTGAAAGAGTAGCTGTAGGCTTCTACCGCAGCATCTAGTCTGTGTGTCCGGGGACTTTGTCAAACGTGTGGTCTCAGACCAGGAGTGGTTACGGTGACTTTGCATGCTGTAGCAGAGCTGAAGGAGGAAGGCGTGTGTCTTCCCTGTAAAGTGAGTTTGCTTGCTGTGTGTGCTTTGGGGCACTGCGTTCCACTGGTTGATCATTTTCCTTGCTCCCGTGTACTAGTAGAGAAGTGCTTTGAAAGTGACTTCCGTAATCCAAGAGGCATTCATTCGCCCGGGGATTTGGGCAGAATGTGAGCTGCATTTGTTCCCTGTCAGAAAAGCTAACTTTCTTCCAGACACAGAAAAAGTGGACACCGTTTTTTCAGGCCTGTCTTCCTACCCTTGCATCCTTTCCGCAGGTTCTGAAGGAGAGTATCTTTTAGTCCTTCAATGTACAGTTTATGTTGTCTTTTGGTATTTACTACAAATACCATTAAAGGCTTGTCCTGTGTAATATCAAGTTGATGAATTCAAAGAATTGCAGGGCTCGGTAGAATTCAAATATTGAAAAGACACTTGAAGTGTCTAAAAAAGAAATGAAGAGCTTGCAACAAGAAGCCTTGTGGTGTTGTGTATTTGAAGGACGGTACTGGGTTTGCCTAAGACTGCTGACTTTCATGTACAGTTCTCAGTTTTCCACTAACAAAAATTCCCTGAATGCCTTCCATTCCTCAGTAACAATGAAAATTACACGGGAGGTTACGTCTGTTCTGGTACAGCTGCATGCCCAGTATAGCTGTAGGCAGTACTTTTCTGGGAACACTTTCCAGAGAGTAGACAATGCTTTCATGCTTTTGGAATTGCTTCCTGGATGTGAGGAGCCGTTACCGTGTGCTTACTGTGTAAAATGTTGCACTCTATAAATGCTCAGGGCGTGAGAGCACAAGGGATATGAACTCTGTATGTGGGCTCCCAGTGGGGATTTTCTTCTCAGCACTGGGCTGCATTGTGGTCGCCTCAAAAGATGGTTTCATATTAGGTTATTAAACATCTCTCTCAATCTACCTAGGTCCACCTGAAGAGTCCTTCAGTTTATCAGTCTCCCCATGATCAAGTGGTTCCTGCCTTTCCCCATGCACCACCATGAGATGGTTTCGGGCGGGTGGGCAGCAGGGTGTTGGGTTTTGAGTGTTTTCAGCGAGGGTTAAAAATTGTTACTGGTTCAGCCTTCGGCACGGGCACAGCTTTGTGCGTTTGCGGCTTTGCTTAACGTCCGCTGTCCTCTCCTCTCCGGTGCTCAGGATCAGTATGAAGAGGAGGACTTTCTCATTAAGCCCAGTGACAATCTTGTCCTCTGTGGCAGAGCTGATAAGGACTGCTGCAGTCTGGAGGTCCATGGTAAGTGACACAGGGGTTGTTCCATACAGTGAAGGTAGGGAATATGTTGCCTGGCCTGTTCCAAATGGTGGTGTAGAAGGGGGAGGGGGTTGGCTTTTGGAAGGTTTGTTTTTCTCCCCATCCACCCTCTGTGTTTTGTCCTCTGTCCCACGTCCTGGTGCTTTAGCTGCTTTCCAGAACTAGGGTATTTCATGGGGAGTTACTGTTATTTAGAGGATAGTGTGCTTTTTTTAGGCTGTATAGCATTTCCTGTCCTTTCCCTTCTTCGTTCCTAACGACACTTAGAAAATACTATGGCATTTTTAATCTCTGAAGAGAAAGTCTTACTTCCCTGTCACGCAAGATTCCTCTAGTGCTTTGCTGTTTTGGTTTTTCTTCCCTTCAGCTTCCTCCTTGCTTCTTTAAATGGCCTTTCCACTGCTCGGAGTAGAAGAATCAGCACCTTTATCATCTTAGTTTTAGAGGAGGTGATCCTTAGTAAGGTCTGAACACCGCTGCTTCTAGGGATGGGTTTAGTTTTACGGTGTAGAAGATTTTTCTGTTGCAGCAAGGAGTAGTACTGAGTGTGCTGAAGTTACTGTATTTTCTTACGGCAGTTGTTTGGGGGAAGGTTTCTGGGTACTTCTGCTATGGTACTCGTTTCTGCAAGCCAAGTGTTTGGTTTTAAGAAAACAGCAAGACCAGGGTGTTTGCAAGCATCTCTTAGACACCAGCATGTGGCATTTTCTGTTTCTGGAGGAAGTTACAGATTTTATTAACTGTGTTATTTTCCCAGTGTAAACATACCAAGCCACAGCACAGGCACCTGCAGTTTATGCCATTGGGTAGCCCTCTCTCGGTTAACTGACTTGGTAGTAGCTAACAACTAGGTTAACCCAAGACTTTAATTAGTATGTGAACATCTGTCATGTGCACTTGAAAAGGCACAGTGATTTTGGGTGTGTGATGGTACCATGTTATTAAGATAATTGATGGGTTTTATCTGCTGTCCAGTTAGTAAATTAATTGCAAGGAGAACAGTAGCTGGCTAAGGGGAGTGCTGGGTTCAGTATTCCGCTGCTTTACCAAAACTCTTCCTCTGTCTCAGTTACCACCTGCTAAAGGTAACTTCATCTGACTTCTCCAGCTTCCTCTGATATGAAAGCTGTTTGTCTTTTACCTTAATTTCCCCTTTGGGTGCATCTGGGATGATTTCCCTTTGTTTTTAAATTGCTGATTCTGTAAAATGAATGACTAAACCTTCATTAATGTTCCCGATGTAGAAAGTGGTGGTGGTGGATGCGGAACATCTCTTTGGAAGTGATCTTACAGAGTAGCATATTGTGGTAGGAATGAAGTGTCTGAGCCTTGCTAAACTTGTCCCTTCTTTGTCTAAAGTACACAGGATAGTGCCTGTTTGTTAGTTTTGTGTGGGACTGTGAGGCATAACATGAGTACTTGGCGGCTCTGGCCTCTACGCTAAAGCTCTGAACATGCTGCCAGTTTACTTTGTAGGTCTCCTTGGCAGTGAAATGTTTGCCACGCCTGCCTTTTGCAGAAGTGAGCCGCTCACAGTTGCTTCCTTTGCCTCTCCACTGACGTCTTCTGTGTGTATCTTCAATTCTTTTGCAGTTTATAATCACGAAGAGGACTCATTTTACGTACATCATGATATCATCCTGCCTGCTTACCCGCTAAGTCTGGAGTGGTTGAATTTCGATCCTAATCCTGAGGAATCAGTAGGTAAATTACAAAGGATGCTGTCAATGTCCAGTTAAATAATTTTTATTTGAAAAATACATAAATGTAATGTTGTCACTGAATAATTTCCTGCAGTGGTACAAACGGAAGTAAACCCAAGATATGACGATGGAAAATGTGAATATCAGGGGTTTTGGTTTGGTGATGCTGTCGTCTTGTTGATGCTGCCGTAACAAGGGATTTGACTAAAATGCTGTGTTTATTACAGATAGTTAAGTTACTGTCAGGTAGCAGCTCAGAGCAAGCTCTTCTCTAATCTGCTTTATTTTCCTTTTGCAAATGAAAGGTTTCTTGTGTTCACACTCATGTCCAATGCAGTTGATGAACTGTAAAACACAGCAACATTTATATATGTATTTATGTATTTGGTAACCTTTCTCCTGTGTTTTACAGATTTTTTTTTTTTTCCATAGCACAGGGAATGTGTTTTTCTTTTTTTTTCCTTAAAAACCCAAACAAAACATGGGACTGTGTACAGCTTCTTTGAACAGTTACTTGCACTGAAGAGAAAGTGTATTGGAGGGCAAGTCACTTCTTTTCTGGCGACATCTGCTGTCAGTTGATATTTTTAAATTGCTCTCTCTCAGTTTAATCATCAAAGGTGTTCAAATAGAAGATTCTGGCATATAAGTTTTACTTAATCAAAGAAATAAGCAGCAGCTGGATTGCCAAATACGCTGTTTCGTAGCTCTGAATCAATGTGGTTACATTTGGGTTTCTGCTTGTAGGAAATTACGTTGCGGTGGGTAACATGACCCCGGTTATTGACATTTGGGACCTTGACGTAGTAGAATCCTTAGAGCCAGTCTTCTCTCTGGGAGGCAAGAAAGGGAAAAAGAAGAAAAAGAAAGGAAAGAAAGTAAGTATTGCGAAGTGGGTTGTCTGGTTGGATGGAGGAAACTTAGAGCAAGCATTTGTGTAATTATTGCTTTATTTTTTGCGGTGAAAAAATCATACCTAATCTGGTTTACCTCCCTCTGTCACGGTGAAGGATGGTGTTCCGACAGGTTACAGAGGATGATGTCGTGGTCGTACGTGATAGGTTAAAACTGGTATTTTGGTGTGCCTCAGAGTGGAAAAAGCATTCAGCAATGGAAAACAGGGTTCACACTAATAAAACACATTTACTTGAGTCACATCCGTTAGGTTAATCTGTCTAAAATGTAAGTGTATTTTAAGCTGGTCATAGAGATTGTCCAAGCTGAACACACAGAGGCACCCCCGGAGAATGGCTGAGTTCCTGTTAGTGGACTGCAGAGAGAGCCTTAACCACGGGAGAGGAAGGCTGAGGTTTAGACTGAGTTGGGTGAGATGAATCCGACCTTAAGGGCTCCCTGGAGTAAGCAGGGAAGGCGAAGGCTGGGTATATAGCCAGTCTGGGTTTCCCAGACGAGGGAGCACTGCAGTGTTGGTGAGCTAAAGAACCACTTTGTGTAGTTGTGAAGGAGGTTTACTTCTTGAGCTCACAGGCCTTCTGGTTTTAAAAACAAGAGAAAAAATACCCTTGGAAGGGCAGTTTGTTCTGTGACACTTGCTTCTGAAAGTCACTGATTTGTCAGAATTGCCGTTGAAGATACCGTTCATAAGTGTTCCCACAAGTTGAAATGCTGATTGTTCTCTGTCTGGGTAATTACAGCCTGGTATTAAAAACAGGAGTGGGGTGGCTTATGGGTGTTCTCCAGTTGCTGTCCCAGTAAACTTCTTTGAAGCTTAACCATTTTAAATTCAGAATATGTGGAAGCTGGCAGTTACAAGGACCTAAAGCTCAGTTAATTGGGAGGAGAGAGAGGGAACTGCCCAGAACGTGTAGAAAGAAGCAGGAGAAGCCACTCATTAGCTGGTGACAATGAAATTTCTCCTCCTGGCCTGAAGGGAGTAACCAGTTCTGTGAGCCCCCAGCTGGGAATGGAGCAATCGGAGATCCGTGGCAGGAGGCGAGATGCAGGTACTGCTGGGACAGTTCTGTCTAAAGCCGGGTTGCAGGAGGTGGCAACAGTTTAAAATCCAAAGTTGTTTGTGACGGCGTTAGGGAATGCATCCTGCTGTGTCGCGGCGCTGGCTGCCGCTGAAGCTGTAAGGTTCGAAAGCCTGTTTGTGTTGTGTCTGCAGGCACAGAGTTTATCTTCGGAAGAGGCAGTGGAAGGACATACTGACGCTGTGCTTGATCTTTCATGGAATAAACAAAGCAGGTAAGAGAACACTTGAAGGGCAGTGGGTGGTTACAAATTGGTGTACTTCATCAGGCATCCCTTTCTCACACAAATCCAAAATCGTGTGTGCTGTAGAATTCAACTGGAAAGCAGTGCTGAAATTAATCCGTTCCCAAAAATACCCCAGCCCCCTTGTTTTCAAACTCAAAGTCTTGGGTTATGGTTTTTTAAACCTGTATATTGCTGCAGATCACTTTTTATTTGGAAGTTGCCCAGGTGAGGGCAGGGATAAGGTGGGCCTAAGCCATCGGGTACCTTTCAGCCAGATGCACAAATTGGAGGAGCCCAAGGGATGCCCTGATCTGTGTGATTTGCCAGTGACCTAAACCACCATTTCAGCAGATAAAAGTAGATTTACAGAAGGAAGTCCTTGCTGGGCTGCCTTTTTTTTTTCCCTATGTCTTTTGCCTCAGAGCTGTGAGCAGGAAAGATTGTAAAAGCCCTAATAGCACAGCTATAGAAATGCCTCTGACCTGTGGGTTATCCCAGGCGGGGGGAAGTCTCTGCTGCCTGAAGGAAGCAGCAGTGAAGTGCCGCTATTGAAGCGGCACAAAGCTGGCCCGTCCTGGGGAGAGGTCAAGGACAATGAAAGATGCTGCTGGGTTTTATCGCTTGGGTGGGTTTTAGCAGCTCAGCTGTCGGGATCCTCCACTCGGACACAGGCTGAGGGGTGTTTGGTTTGGTTCTTTTCCTGCTGCCATAAATGTCTGTGAGAATACACCTACTCGTGATGAGCAGCTGTTAACCTTTCCTTCCAATTCCTTGTAACCAAGGTACTGAAGAAGGAAGCATGCACACGGACATGCAGTTAACATTCATGAGCTGCACTCAGTTTAGATTGCACTGTCTGTTGTTCTTTAATTATACCTATGCAGGGGGCACGGAGCAATCGTTCCCTCAGTCTTCTAACAGAGTGGCTTTCATGTACCTAGAAATGCTTGTCTGGTGAGAGACAGGTCACAAAAATGATGGCTACAGTAGTTAAGTGTCTGGAATTGGAAGGATATAGACTGGTTGGAGCAAGTCCAGAGGAGGCCACGAAGATGCTCCGAGGGCTGGAGCACCTCTGCTATGGGGACAGGCTGAGAGAGGTGGGCTGGTTCAGCCTGGAGAAGAGAAGGCTCCGGGGCGACCTTATTGCAGCCTTCCAGTACCTGAAGGGGCTACAAGGAAGCTGGGGGGGACTTTTTGCAAGGGCCTGTAGTGACAGGACAAGGGGGAACGGGTTTAAATTGAAAGTGGGGAGGTTTAGCTTGGATATCAGGAAGAAATTCTTCCTGGAGAGGGTGGTGAGGCACTGGCACAGGTTGCCTAGAGAAGCTGTGGATGCCCCATCCCTGGAAGTGTCCAAGGCCAGGCTGGATGAGGCTTTGAGCAACCTGGTCTAGTGGGAGGTGTCCCTGCCCATGGCAGGGGGGTTGGAACTGGATGGTCTTTAAGGTCCCTTCCAACCCAAACCATCCTGTGATTCTGTGAATCCCTAATTCTGTAACGTGCTGAGTTATGGACTCACTGACACTGGTCAGTCTTTCAGGAAGTAAAACCAGCCTTAAAGTGGGAAGCTTAGGGGCAAAACAAGGAACTTCTTGGAGCTGTTTATTTAAATGTTTTGATGTTTTTTGTTGTTTTGTTGTTTGTTTTTTTTTTTAAGACAGACATACTGAGACAGCTCTCCATAGGTAACTTTCTGCCTGTAGGTCATAATGATACAACTGTAAAATGTTCTCACAGGCTTTACTACGCACTTTCTTCACTTGCCACATTGGTTTGGGGAACAGTGTTTCTGAGGGTGTTAGCTCTTTCAGTCAGAAACACTCGGTTAGTGTGGGGAAGGAAAAGGCACGTGGGGAGCAGTTTCAGTCAGAGAACGCTGAGGTGCTAGGTCTGTTTCTAAGAGCAGCAGTAGCAGTTGTACCGTGTATTTGACAGACCTTAGGGAATATGTAGAGCTTTTTCTGATTAAACTTCTAAACGGTGTTTACTGTTTTAACACAGTTGGTCAGATTTAAGTTGAAATGTGGGGTGTGTAAACTAACTAAAATGCTCGTGGTTCCTTTCAGCATTCTGTGAAGGGTGCAGAGTGTTGGGTTTTCAGTAGTTGTATAAACACCCGAATATTAGCAAAATATTTTAAAAAACAGGTTTGTCTGGTTCTTGGCTGCATGTGTATGCAAATAAAGCTGAATTACATAGGTAATGTTTAAAAATACTGTCTCGAAGGAAGTGCTTAAAAGCCTTTCTTGGTTTGTTCTGTTCAAGAAGTCTTCCAGTGAATGATATTTTAAGTGGTATGTGTGTGGAATTGCAAGCAAAGCCCGTCACTTAAAATAATAAGTGATGTGCTGGTATAATGGTAATATAGCCTGTTTGTGGTCTTTACTTGTAGCTTCCAATTACCTTCAGAGGTACAGCCCGTAGACCAGAGGGTACTCGACCTCAGAAACAGGCTCTGTGTATAGTTTGGATTTTGGACCATTGTTTGTAACTGTGTAAAGGTTTTTTAAAACTTGGTTTTTGATTCATTACCAGGAATGTTTTAGCAAGTGCGTCGGCTGACAGGACTGTGATGCTGTGGGACATGTCCGTGGGAAAGCCAGCAGCCAGCCTGGTGCTGCATACGGACAAGGTGGGTAATGATTGCTGTGCTTCTTCCACTGTAAAATACAGGGAGAAAATGCCGGTTTTCATTAGCTGCTTGGTAGTGAACGTTGAGAACACCACTTCTGTCATTTTCTAACGACTGTGCAGAATTCTTGACGCTTCTGAATTAGTTGCTTTTGCGAGCAACACTGATTTGCTGTAAAGAATGTTGTTTAACCTGTCCTGTAGGAAGTTTGTGAAGACTTGCTGCAGTTTTTAAAACGGCTTTTGTGTGAAAGCGTCGATGGTTGGGAATATAATAGTGCTGGTGTAAGCCACAGAAAATAGATCTCTGAGCAGAGGTCAAACTGTAGCTCTCTCTGAAGGAAAGAATGTGTCAGTCACAGTTTGTTCTGGGTAAGAAAAGTTTAAAATAAATGATGCTGAAGCACCGTAGCGATCGGTGCTCCAAAAATAAATTAATCTCACAGTCACTAAAATGTGAAAGTTAGTTATTAATAGCTATAACCTTATTTTGCTGTTAACAAAGTCACTGCCCTTGGCAAACTCCTGCTTTTCATTTTTTGCCAACATCTGCATTTTTCCCCAAACTGGAAGCAGCTATTTTTTTTCACCTTTTCCAGCTTTTTTTTTTTTTAAATATCTAGTGCAGAAAGAGGGCATGTGGTTCTGTTCAGTTAAATTAGATTGGGAATTATCTTGTTTCCACTGAGTGGGGGTGTTTGAAATACAAGTAAAGTGCATCTCTTGCACTGTTTTATGAGAAATCCAAGTATCAACAAGCTCAGTATGAGATTTTGACGGGGGGGGGGGAATGTACTGGTTCTGGGGAGGGGAGTTGTGCTCTCTTTGTTCAAAGAAAGTTCCTCTGTGTGTATGTGTGTGTGTTATATCTCAGTGTTTATTTTTAAAAATAAAATCTTCTGTTATCCAGGTCCAGACATTGCAATTTCATCCGTTTGAAACTCAGACCCTTATTTCTGGATCTTACGATAAGTATGTCGGGGTGATACTTTCCAATGTTACACGCAGGGAGGGTACTCATATCACATTAAGCCCGTTCAGTTGCCTCATGTTTTCATTTTAATTTCCTTATTACCATCCCAAATTTGAGTAATGTTGTTTTATGGGTTTTTTTCCAGCAAGGTAGCCAGGTTTGTATGTGGCCAAAATGTAGTTTTCCTTACCTTTTTCTCAGGAGTCGCCAAATTCTTTAACCATCTGGACTGACATTTTCTGTGCCAGGTGTCTGCTCTGAACAGAATTTATTTCTTAATTTGGCCTTATGGCATTTTCTGCATTGGGAATGTGTCACTGGTCCTTCCTGTGAAATCTTGTCCAGGTTTGGCCCGACTCTAAGACTGGGGTGGAGGCATGAGGGGCTTTACGGTCCCAGTCCGCTCCCTACAGCCCCTGCTGATAGATGTGCCATAGCCTGCGTGGGCTGTCTCCTGGGACTGCAGCCTGCAGATCCCATGAAATGGCTTGTGTCTGTGCGCTTGGACCAGCTCTGTAACTGTTGGTTTTTATAAGCCCTGCAGCCCAAAAACTGCCCTGTGTATGTAGAATCACAGAATGGTTT